TCTTTACACCGCAGTGCACTCAATGTACACGAATACCTATCTTACAAAGACCATTCAATAGACAGGATTGCACTTTGTGTTTATAGTCCTGCACATTCATTAGTGGTATTCGTGCATTTGTCACGACTGTATTTCCTATGTTTTCGTATTGGTGATCGGGGCCAGTGTTGTCATACACCACTCGCCACTGATATCAAACGTGGCCCAGGATTTGAACTCGGGTGGCCGGGTTGATAGCGCAGCACTGCGCTAACCGCTGCGCCACCAACCCCCCTCTTGAGACCTTGTTGTCGCCTAACCATTTTACAAAAGCCCATCTCTCTCTGACTTGCATCGCGAACGCGTTTACAAGCGTGGGCCGGTTCACGCGAGCTCCACCGCGTCACGTGGCAGCCCGGACGAGGTTGAGTGTCCACCCGGTGGCTTCGAGGAGATGTACGTCGATTCCAGTTCGGCACCATGGAAAGTGGCTCATTCATCTTGCACGTAAAATTACAAACACTGCGTCGCAATGTGCCGTGGACTCTTGGTTACCGTATTATGGGCGGCGCATGATTTGCTGACATTACTCTGTGATAGATTACTGACGTTTCAACAATGAGTTATTGTACACCACTTTAAAACACCACTGCCTTTTCGTACTGAATATACCGCACATAGTTTGAGAGAATAAAATGGCACTTACGTTTGGTTTAAAATAGATTTTAAACGCATTTATCACTCGACTAACTCAAGCCATTAGATCTGTATGTGACAAAGCAGAAAATGCCAGTCCCTTACACTTTTTTAATATAAAACAATTTTCCTGAATTCTCTTGGGGTCGCTAAGTTACGACCGCAACTATTACGTGAGAAACACGGCCAGTTTCATGACAGGCATGGGATTTGTGTGTTATTTCTTCATGATGGGTTCGTCTTGTCACTGGCAGATTTGATAATAATGTGTGCGTGGTTGCTGTTCAGTGAACGTGACTGTGATATGTTGTCGTCCTTCAACCGCACATCCGATTAGCACGGTGTGTTACGTACGGCACGGAAGAAGTTCAACATACAATATCTACATTCACTGGGGCAAGATTTTGGTGCGATGGAGTTCTGGCTGGGAATGCAATGCCCACCATGCCCTCTTGCTGCTCTCGTGCACTCAAAGGGGTTGCTTTGTGGTGGTACCCGCACTCTCACAAAGCACATTGCATTGGACTTGCAATGCGGGGCTCTGCTGACCTTGAAAGACCCTGTACGAGTCCACGGTTATTATTTCCCACCAGCCCGCCCGCCCCCCAAACAAAAACCATGGATCAACTACTTTATTGACGCAAATTGATTACCGCCCACGTGTTCAGAACTGTTTGTTCCTTCCCCGTAGTTGGAAGTTTTCGCCCACACAACTGTGGGGTTACCTGTCAGCTACTGAGCAGATGCTACTGTGGTATGCAGTAGTCAGGGCAAAACCATGAGACCTTGTTGAAAGAAAACACCCCCATTGCAAGTTGTTGACGTCTGGGAGTTAGGGAGTGAATAACTTTGTTGCCCAAGGCACCCAATGTGGTAGTGTATGGTACAGTATCACACGACTGTACTCTACTTGCTGCAGGGCTGTACAGACTTAATATCCGCAACCTATCGGGCGGGAAAGGTGAATGCAGCTTTCATTTTAATAAGATCTAACAGTATTTGTTCAACCGGTACAACTTTTTTGTAATATTGTATGAAACTCATCACATTCAGGCTGCAGGCTGTACTTAACACGATTTAAAATGTAAAAAAGCATATGAATATACACCTATTCGCAACCATTGAAATAACATGGACACCCTTCAACAGTCAAAAAGTTGTGGGAAATCATCTCTTTTACATTAAAAGTAAAGTTATAAAATGTTGCTGGCGCATTGCATTGTGGGAAGGTTTGTTTACGGTACAATCCAGAGAACAATGCATTCACCATCTGAACAGAACACATTTTTACTGCTCTACATTTCCTGAGGCAGAGAAGTTTGAGAAATAAAATTAGGTACTGTACACACAGTATATGAAACTAAACGAAACGAAAAAGGCGTAAGTTTTGCTTAGCACTCAATAATAAAGTAATGTTTTAAGTTAAAGTGAGGTGTTCATTCAGTCCTGCCGGCTGAACAGTGTTCATCAGGTGTGCTTCTGCACCACTGACAGCATCACCAAATACTGTTTTATAACAGGCGACGTTTTGGGCAATGGTCCTTCATAGCACACATCGATGTTGAGACTGACAGGACATTGTAGCAAGTCAGACAGGCTAGCCCATCAACCTTCATCAGCCAAGATCAATCCACTGATAGATGCAGGCCTCCCAACGCCGCCTTTGTCGCATATCACGATGCAATAATCCATCCATCATCTGCACCCACCAGCTGATTTCATTACTCCGATATTATTCTTGAGCATTGCCAAACTTTTCTTAAGTTTCGACGATGTCATTCAATTAGGTATGCTCTCTTTTCCACGTGTGCCGCTTTCTTTCTCAATGCCCAGGTAGCCCTTGCAAAAGAGGCAACTTTCAGGCGTCCCAATAGGGTTGTTTGATCGAGTTAAAGGATGAGGCGATAACTATTTTTATTTTACCAGGCACGGCCCACTGAACTACAAAGTTATTTTTGCAGAAGCGACCTGGCCCCAAATGATAGCTTCAACGAAAGTGGCTTATCACGTGGACATTTATAGCAGCAGCCACATTCTCTAAACGCACGTTTCCAAATGTGGAAGGAAAACCCGGAGGGTCCCGGAGGAAAACATCTACGCGACCAGAGGGAGAGAGACACGCAAACTCCAAATATACAGCATCGAACCGACACTCGTGTGATTCCAACCGTGCACCTCCAGGAAACGAAAACTAAATTTTGATTTAAAGCTTTCGTGACTGCAGGGATTCATCTTCTTGGTTCTTTCGGTAAAGTCACGTAGAAGGGAAGTAATAAAATAATAAAAATAAAACATAATAAAATTATTCTCACGACGTTTCGGCCGCAACGCAAGCAGCCGTCCTCAGGTGAAAACCAGGTCCGTCGAGGCGACAGAGTCTGAATGCCTCGACGGACCTGGTTTTCATTATGTTTTATTTTTATTATTTGATTACTTCCCTTCTACGTGACTTTACCGAAAGAACCAAGAAGATGAAACGAAAAGTTGTCTTCAGCGTTCGTTCATATGCTAATGACCGTGATTGACCCCTACCCCTGCTACGTCACAATGGGCGGGAGGGAGGCACCCAATCTCGGCCAAGTTCACGCCCTCATCCCGAGCGTGCAGCAGCAGCAGCAACAACGTGCGCAGAACGTCGCGCAAATGCGCGCGGTCCCTCGCCCGTGTTGTTCGTTCCGCATCGGAGAGCCGTGGTAGGGGAGGGGCTTGGGGTGGTGGAGGGCGAGGGGAGGGGCTTGGGGTGTAGGGGGAGGGGCTTGGGCTGTGGAGGGCGAGGGGAGGGGTGTAGGGGAGGCGAGGGGAGGGGCTGGGGGAGTGGGGTGCGGACTCTGTGTTAGGGGCTGGGGTGTGGATGGACTAGGTGGGGGGGGGGGACTATGGGGGAGGGGTTGGGGGACGAGGGGAGGGGTTGGGGGACGAGGGGAGGGGTTGGGGGACGAGGGGAGGGGTAGCAAAGTGGGCGACTGGGGGAGCGACTGGGTTTTGGGGAACGAAGGGGGGGGGGGTAACTGGGGGACGAGGGGAGGGGCTGTGGGCCAAGGGGAGAGGAAGGGGAGTGAACGACTCGGGGAGGGGCTGGGGAGTGAGTGAACGAGGGGAGGGGTCTGGGTGCGAGGGGAGGGCCCGGGGAGTGAGTGAACGAGGGGAGGGGCTGGGGAGTGAGTGAACGAGGGGAGGGGCTGGGGAGTGAGTGAACGAGGGGAGGGGCTGGGGAGTGAGTGAACGAGGGGAGGGGTCTGGGTGCGAGGGGAGGGGCTGGGGAGTGAGTGAACGAGGGGAGGGGCTGGGGAGTGAGTGAACGAGGGGAGGGGCTGGGGAGTGAGTGAACGAGGGGAGGGGTCTGGGTGCGAGGGGAGGGGCTGGGGAGTGAGTGAACGAGGGGAGGGGCTGGGGAGTGAGTGAACGAGGGGAGGGGTCTGGGTGCGAGGGGAGGGGCTGGGGAGTGAGTGAACGAGGGGAGGGGCTGGGGAGTGAGTGAACGAGGGGAGGGGTCTGGGTGCGAGGGGAGGGCCCGGGGAGTGAGTGAACGAGGGGAGGGGCTGGGGAGTGAGTGAACGAGGGGAGGGGCTGGGGAGTGAGTGAACGAGGGGAGGGGCTGGGGAGTGAGTGAACGAGGGGAGGGGCTGGGGAGTGAGTGAACGAGGGGAGGGGTCTGGGTGCGAGGGGAGGGGCTGGGGAGTGATGTGAACGAGGGGAGGGGCTGGGGAGTGAGTGAACGAGGGGAGGGGTCTGGGTGCGAGGGGAGGGCCCGGGGAGTGAGTGAACGAGGGGAGGGGCTGGGGAGTGAGTGAACGAGGGGAGGGGCTGGGGAGTGAGTGAACGAGGGGAGGGGCTGGGGAGTGAGTGAACGAGGGGAGGGGCTGGGGAGTGAGTGAACGAGGGGAGGGGTCTGGGTGCGAGGGGAGGGGCTGGGGAGTGAGTGAACGAGGGGAGGGGCTGGGGAGTGAGTGAACGAGGGGAGGGGTCTGGGTGCGAGGGGAGGGCCCGGGGAGTGAGTGAACGAGGGGAGGGGCTGGGGAGTGAGTGAACGAGGGGAGGGGCTGGGGAGTGAGTGAACGAGGGGAGGGGCTGGGGAGTGAGTGAACGAGGGGAGGGGCTGGGGAGTGAGTGAACGAGGGGAGGGGTCTGGGTTCGAGGGGAGGGGCTGGGCAGTGAGTGAACGAGGGGAGGGGTCTGGGTGCGAGGGGAGGGCCCGGGGAGTGAGTGAACGAGGGGAGGGGGCTGGGTTCGAGGGGAGGGGCTGGGCAGTGAGTGAACGAGGGGAGGGGCTGGAGGAGGCGCCCCCCCCGTGGCTTGCGCTGAGCTGCGCGTTGTCCATTCCCCAGCGCCCGAGCGAGGAGGCTCCGAGCGCTGGTCGTGACTCTGGTGCCAGAGACGAATTCGGGTGAGTCGCACGGTCTCACCGTCGACGTATCTCGCCATTCGTACCATCTCCTTCATCGCGACCATTCGTTGTTGGCTTACTTCTCTGTGTCTGCTTTGAGACCGTAAAGCTGTCAGAGCCGTCGTCTACGAGCGCATCGAATTGCTATGTGTAAGTGCCGAAATGCCTAACGCGGTGGTGTAGCGCCGTAGTTGATCTCAACTCGTGATTGTTAAAGGTTGCTTGTAGGAAAGTTCAGAGGTCGTGGGTGCAAATGCTACTCGAACCCTGTTACATTACTTCGGTGGTGCGTGTTCTTCATCTACAACACACGCTGCTGATCTCCATACGTAGTTTGCTGGCTGCAGTTTCTTTGAGTTCAAGACCCCAAACCATCTCGCATTGAATCGTTCTGCCCGTGGGTGTTCGCGTGAAGACGCCACGGTGACGTGAACACTGTTGTCACCGGACAGCCCAAACGACTCATCGTGCTGGAAGGAAGAAGCCGCCGACATGAGTTCGACTCTGGGCATCAGCCTGTACGCGAGCCGCAAGCGCAAGAAGCCCGTCCAGCGCAGGTACATGGCACGACTTGACGACTACTACCTTACCTGTCACCCACTACTCAACTACAACATCATCTGTTACCCACTACCTTACCTGTCACCCACTACTCAACTACAACATCACCTGTCACCCACTACTCAACTACAACATCATCTGTCACCCACTACCTTACCTGTCACCCACTACTCAACTACAACATCACCTGTCACCCACTACTCTACTACAACATCATCCGTTACCCACTACCTTACCTGTCACCCACTACTCAACTACAACATCACCTGTCACCCACTACTCAACTACAACATCATCCGTTACCCACTACCTTACCTGTCACCCACTACTCAACTACAACATCATCTGTCACCCACTACTCAACTACAACATCATCTGTCACCCACTACCTTACCTGTCACCCACTACTCAACTACAACATCATCTGTCACCCACTACTCAACTACAACATCATCTGTCACCCACTACCTTACCTGTCACCCACTACTCAACTACAACATCATCTGTCAACCCGTTATTCACCCGTCTCATCACCCACTCAGCATCCACCTTACGCTTGAACCCCCCTTGCCAATTCGACAATCCCCTCACCTGTCTCGTCGCTCTCTCCCCCCCCCCCCTCTTCCTACAATCCACTCACCTGTATATTTACTTGTCTGCCAGTCCACACTCAAATGTCTCCCCATTCGGCTTCATGTTCGCTCACCTGCCTGGCCAAGCACTCACCTGACTCTCACCTGTACTGCTATCCACTAAACCGAATACCCACTCACCTGTTATACACATTCTCACCTATCTGACTTATCAACTTACCTATCTGACTACTCACCTGCCTTTGCGACAATTCACTCCCGTGTCTGATTATATACTCAACGCTCTGCCCGTCAACTTGCATGTGTAGTGACTTGTACCCTGTCACTGTGTGGTGCCGGGACTTAATTACAGATCAATTTAGACCTTGTTGGTCACCCCGTGCCCCTTATAAATATCAACGTTCATCCTACAAAGGCCCATCACAAGGGAGAAACACAAACAAATAGACAAAGTTTTTTTTCTGCCCGTATTGAAACGGCTGTACGTGTATGGACCTGAAAACTCGATTTCCCTGTACAAGAATACGGGGTAAACCGTATGGATTGACAAGATAAACTAGGGTATTTGTCTTGCTTCCTGACTTCCTGAATGCCCACCAAACCTCCTTGACCTACCTGCATGTTCACCCGAAACTCTGTCCGGTCAATATGCCTATCTGTTTATCCATTGAGCCCCTGTTGTTGTATCGCTGCATTTCTGTTCGCAACAGTCTATAATACAATGGCCACATTTACAAGACTGTTAACGATTACTAGATTAAATAGACACGGTGTTGTGTCTATCGGTTAATCGCTAATGTATTAAGAAGTACCTCTACTGCATATGTAAAATTGATGCGCGTATATTTTCAAGATGTTATGACACTGGCTTCATATTTGAAAACAGCGATCCTGTACAGCTTTCACACAAGGACGCGTAATATTACACTGGATGCTCTATATTCTGCAAGACTCACAACACCCCATTTCATTTCATAAAAATGTTGAATGAGAACGATCACATTGTTGTTGCCCTAAAAGGAGCTGGGCCCTTTTTTGTTTACATTATTTTCAGGGTTGTTGGCGGGAATTTGTTATGAAATCATGATGCGTGAAAAGCTGGTCGTTTCGTTTTGTTGGTGTCAGCCCTAAACTGGTTTTTGAGCACCCATTGTTCCAAACTTCCGTTCAACCCCACGGTGCAATTTGTATACAGCCTTTTGAGATGTAATGGTGGTGTGTAGTTCACCCAGAAATGCTCGTCTTTAAATAGGACTGAGCGATGCAGACACCTTTTTTCGATATCTTACCTTTAGCGGAATGTGTGTTGTTTTACGTTAAAAACACGGTGTAGCTGTCCGATACAGTATGTATTATTATTGTACTGCATGTTATTCAGCATGAAATCTGACGTTTCACTCCATGTGCCGGGAGTTTCTTTAGGAATTCAGTTCCTGAACATGATGCCAGCACATGGAGTGAACCGTTGGACATCATGCCAAACACATGGTACAACCCGAAAACGTAACAGAATGCTAAAGCCACCGCATTGTTTACAAGTCTTACCTTGTGACACAATAATATAATAGCCCCCCCTCCCCCTTAACTTGTATTTAAGAGCTTGTCTCTTGGATTTTGCCTCACTTGATACAGTAAATTTAGCTGTGACGGTCCCACCTGATGACGGAGACTTGTGTTGCCTCCGAAACGTCGTGATTTATAATTTGATTTCTATTATTATTTCTATTATTGTAATTTTTATTATTTATTTTTACCTACGTGACTTTACCGAAAAAACCTAAGAGTACACAATAATATATCTGCACTGGAACATCATTTCTGTTGTGTTTTTATGCTGTCACAAAAGATGACACCATTTGTATACATCTGAAGTGTTGTTGAAGACGCGTGGACAACGGGGTAAGGCACACGTATTTATTTACACAAAGGGCTTACAGTACTAGAGGGATGTATCGGCCCCCTCACCCGTACAACTGGGAATTCACCCCTAGCTAGCCTTCCTAGCTGAGTCCTCCGCTAACGGGCTAGGGGAGGCTGTCTGGCCCGACACTGGTTAGTCGGGCTACGGTACCCGGAATCCCAGAGGTCTGACTCTGGTTCCGGGACCACGCCACTGGCTCCAGCCTGCACTGCCCTTACAAGGGCGGCGTCCCAGGGGGAGTCCAGGGCCTATCTGGCTGGTCTTCTCTCTTCTCTTAACTACTCTAAGACTGAGCCCCGAGCTCTCTGGCTCAACCCTTTTTATACCCCGTTAGAGGATCGAAACCCCCCTCACGCCGTCCAGTACGGACGTCGTTGCGGGCACCACCCCGTGTGCTCACGGAGACCCCGCCCACTGTGTCTGTTTTCCATTAGCCCCTATGTAAACAGCCCTACACAAACAGACCCTCTGTAACAGCCCTACATCACCCCCCCCTGTACAGCTCGCAGCCGTCCCGGCTGCAACAACTTTCAATAAAGGTTATTCAACCCCTGGATCCCCGCGTGTGCCTTAAAAAAACGTTTTTAACGCTAACTTGAAGGAACCAACAGTAACAACAACAACAACGACAATGACAACAACAAAACCCTCAACCCCGAAAGGGAACAATCCGACGCACCCCCCCCCGAATAAATACGGATACCGTAAGAACGAGCTATATACAATTTGTAGCGAAGCCACAATGCACACCAATGGGCAGGGGACACCCCCCCCCCCACACAACACACAATGAACACAACATATATATACAAATCTTGCGGTTCCTCAACAGTCTGCGCATTTTTGCGCGTGTCCTTGCGGTTTCACAACAGTTTGCGCATTTTTGCGCGTGTCCTTGCGGCGGGCCCCTCACACGGGGGAACCCCGGGTGGCGGACCGTCAGGTGGCAATCGTCCGTCCGGGAGCGGGGCCTCCTCTGATGCCTCGTGACTGTTGGTATCCCCAGAAGGGGTGGTCGGGCGTGAGCCCGTCAGTCTCGATGCACCTGGAGGTGGCACGGCCGGCAAGGCATTAGGTGAGCGCGGTGGGGACGGACCTAGTGAGTCGGTCGACCCCCCACACGTCTGGCCACGCATGTGTGAAGTGGGTTTGTGTGCCGCGACGAAAGGTTTCAACCGAGAGGGGTGCACGAACCATCGCCGCTTCCCCCAACGAATGCGCACGCACTGTGGTCGCAGGACCTCGACCACTTCCACAGGCCCCCGCCACGGTCGCGCCAGCTTTGGGGAGGTAGCCAGGGGTACTTGGGGACAGTGCAACCATGCCCTGTCCCCCGGTTTCCACTGTATGACATGCGCTCGACCCAACCTGAGGCGCTCGTTCGCCTTTTGACGGAGGTCCGAGTTTAACCTCGCAGCATCCCGTGCCTCTGTTAACTTAGCCAAATTAAATTTGACGTGGTCAGCCAATTTTGTTTTACCTTGCTGGTCGGGGATCTGCAGCTGGGCGCGAACAGGCGGGTCGGGTTCGCGACCGTACATAAGGTAAAAGGGGGAAAACCCCGTAGCTGCATGGGGTGCCATCCGATATGCCGCCAAGACCCCCTGAATATGCAGGTCCCAATCAGTCTGGGAATCTGAGACCTGCTGTGCCATCATTGACGAAATGGTGCGATGCAGGCGCTCGACCATTCCGTCAGTCTGTGGGTGATACGGGGAGGTCCGAATTTTCTTTGTGCCTAAGAGGTCACAGACTTGTTTAAGTAATTTGCTGGAAAAATTTTTACCCTGGTCGGTCAGCAGCCGTTCCGGGGCACCTTTGTCCAGGACGTATCCCTGAACAAAGGCGTCCACGATGGCTGCTGCCGACTGGTTGGCAAGGGGCCAGGCCATGGGCCAGCGCGTAAAATACTCGACACCTGTCAGCAAATACTTATTGCCCCTGGGGGTGGCGGGAAATGGGCCCAAGATGTCCAGTGCGACCAGCTCATTTATTCTGGACACCTTGATCGATTGTAAAGGCGGGTTAGACTCCCGCGCCGGCGGTTTCCGCTGCGCACACCGCGGGCATGAACTCAGAAGATCCCCCACATCCTTTGTCATACCAGGCCAAAAAAATCTAGCTGTATTAGTGCGAGGGTCTTTAGAGTCCCCAGATGTAACAGGCGCTCATGCGCGGCCCACACCACTTTGCCTCGCAACTCCGAAGGGACGACCAGCCGATGTCGCTGTGATTTTGCGTCCCAGTGCATGAGCAGACCCTGTACCATTTCCCATGCACCCGAATCACCTTTCACCCGGCCAGCACCCCCGACGCGACGACGCCACCCGAGGAGGGAGGTGTCCTCCATTTGGAGGCGCCCCCACTCAGTGACGGGCAACCCCAACAGGGAATCCCTTCCCTGTTGTTCGATAGAATTATCAGCCAGTGGCTCGTCATCGTCGGTGGCTGCCAGGATCGGGACCGATGCGTCCCCTGAAGGTCTGCAACGTCCCGACCCCAGGAGGCATGCACATTCCGAGGCGGTTGGCATGCGTGACAGAGCGTCCGCGTTGGTATGGCGAACGCCCTTACGGTAAGTGGTCTCAAAATCAAAATCCTGGAGAACCTCCAACCATCGAGACAACTGTCCCGATGGTTGTTGAACTCGCAGGGCATACTGTAGTGCCGCATGATCTGTGCGGACGGTGAAATGCCGACCGTACAGATATGGGCGGTACTGTTGGCCAACAGTTCTCTACGGGTAACACAATATCTCTGCTCCGCAGGAGACAACACCCGACTACCGTATGCGACCACCCGTTCAACGCCATCAACCACCTGGGAAAGCACACCCCCAATACCCGTGTTGCTCGCATCGGTGTCGAGCAAAAAGGGTTTCGAAAAATCAGGGTAGATCAAGGGAGGGGCTTTCACCAGGGCGTCCCGAAGGGAGCGGAACGCAGCCTCCTCCTCTTGACCCCAGTGGAAACGAACCCCTTTAGATGTTAGAGCGTGCAGGGGTTTTGCAATTGTTGCAAAATCAGCAACAAACCGTCGATAATACGACGCGAACCCAATAAAACTCCTGACCTCTCCCACTGTGGTGGGAGTCGGCCAGGAGCTGACACACTGCGTTTTGGCGGGAATCGGTAGCAATACCCGAGCGTCCCACGATGTGCCCCAAATAACGCACCGAATCACGCAACAAATGGCATTTTTGGGGCTTAAATTTCAAATTAGCAGCCCGCATCTTTAGGAAAACTGCCCGCAACCTCTGGAGATGGTCATCAAAAGTTTTACTAAAGACGATAACGTCATCCAAATAAATGAGGCACGACTCCCATTGCAGTCCAGCCAAAACCAATTCCATCAAACGCTGGAAAGTTGCCGGCGCTGAGTGCAAGCCCATCGGCAACCTGTTGAATTGAAACAAGCCGTGCGGTGTACGAAAAGCAGTTTTAGGCTTAGACTCATCATCCAGAGGAAGCTGCCAGAATCCCGAAAGTAAATCGAGTGTGGAAAAGAATCGCGCTCCCGCCAAAGCGTCAAGCGATTCATCCATCCGAGGGAGCGGGTATGCGTCGGCAACCGAAATTTTATTAAGACGCCGGAAGTCAACGCAAAACCGCAACGAACCGTCCTGCTTTTTAACCAGGACGATCGGCGCTCCCCAAGGGCTGGTGGAAGGAGAAATGATGTCCGCGGCTAACATGTCATCAACAGCCGATTTGACATGTTCCTTTTCGGCGGGACTCAACCGAAACGGATTTTGGCGAATTGGCGCGCTGTCACCCGTGTCAATATGGTGACGCAGCAAGTGAGTGCAGCCCAAATCATATTTATCTCGACTAAAAACGTCGGAAAATTCTCGCAATAGCGTTTTAAGTTGTTGACGCTCTGAATCGGACAGGTCCGTCGATCCCGCACAAAGCGCCTCGAGCCACCCTTCATCGCTGTCCGAACGCGGTCGCGACGCAGGGACAGTGTTGACGGAATTGACGGCGGGCTCCTCACACGGCACCGGCGTTGCGTGAGCAAGCACGGTCCCCTGTGGGAGCACCACCGTCCGCGAGCCCACGTTTAGGACCGCGATGAAGGGTTCACTATCCCCTCTCACTATGGTCTGGGCCGGTAGTAAATCAGGTCCACTAACCCCGGCCCTCGACGGTCCCAACAGTACCCCTTGCGCCCCGGCACCCTTAACGAGGGGCCGCCGAAGCTTCAAGGGCACCAACATTTGCGTTCCCGGAGGAACGCGTACCGTTCTCTCCACGAACGCCGGCACCGTCGCGAACGCCGTCCGAGTCGCAACTGGTGATGGCAGGAACGCCATGCGTCTGCCCGATGGAAGCTCTATGCACCCCTGGTCGATCAAAATTACAATCGGCATTTTGGCCAGGAAGTCCGTCCCCAGCAGGCACGGAACCGCCAGCGAGGACGAAACAAAAATCGGCCCAGACAATTTAATTTCCCCAATACAAATTTGGGCACGAATTTGTCCGATGATGCCAAGTGAGCCCCCGTTAGCCGCATAGAATGGTACGTTAACAGGCATCAAAGGACGGCTCCGGACAGGGAGAATATT